ATATTTTTTTTATATTCAAGTTTTAGCAAAAACACTGTTTGAACTATCTAATCTATTTTTATTAACTTTTATAGGCTGGGATGACATATCAATATAATACGATAGTATAAAGGATTCGATTTTTAGATAAACATGTAAGTATCTAAAAATTATTTCTTATTTTTAGTATATACTTTTATTTTATCTGAGATTTAATAGTCAATAACTATAGCTAGAAATAAACAATCTTTGAAGGTTAATAAGTTCTTTTAGAATTGGTAATTCTTTTTCAAATGAACAGTTAAATATACTATATATGTTATATCATGTTAATTGAATTGTTTGAATTTTTTTTAAGACAAATTAGTTAAAAATAGGCCAAATAACTAAAAACAATATTTTTGCCAAATTTTATAAAAAGTATTGATATTAAGAAACTTTGAACAATAACTAAAATTTATCAATGATTTTTATATGGATAGTTAAATAATATTGTAACAATTAAGCATCGTTATCGTAATTTTGAAAAAAAAGATCTGTATTTTTTTTTATCAAAATTATTTGCTTAATCACTAATCATTTAAACTGAATTTTACTAATTTGATAATTTGTACTTGAGAATGCTGTTATATTAATAATCAAGAAATAATAAAAAACTATTGATGTAGCGATTTATTATTACTTAATTACATATTAGATAAAATAAGATTTATTATATTGATTTACTTATAATTATCTCTGAAGTTTTTTTATCATTTCTGTACTTCCTGTCATGCAAAATATAGCACACCATGCTCATAATTCATGGCTTCGAAATTCATAGTCTTGTTCATATATTTTTTTTAATATAAGTATAAAGTTTAATTATATTGCTTTTTTGTTGTTTCCAATTTTGAAACACTTGATGCCATTTTTTAACTGGTTTACTAACTGCTTTTTTTAAATGTAATTCAAACAAGTGTTTTATAATTAATGAATTATCCCAATCTGCATATATATATTTGTTAGATAAAGGTGTTTGTCAAAAAAATTTTGCTTCATATGCTTGTTTTAATTTATATAAAGTTGTGGGATAGTTAATGGCAAATAAAGTATTACCGGGAATAGACTTTAGAACCCCAGTTTGCTGCCAAATGGCATTAGGTAAGCTATCTTTATATTTTGCAGCAATTTGACTATTTTGATATATTGTAATTGAATATGAATTGTTGTTATTAATGGATTGAGAAAAACAGATTGTTTTATTTTATATTTATAAAATAATAAAGCTATATAATTATAGCCAATTTTATCAAGTGAACCAACAAATATAGAAATATAATTATCTATCTTAATGATAAAAGGACAAAAATTAATATTTTCTAATAATTTTTGTGCTGTTTTATCCTGATCTAAATCCAAATATGTGAGGCCTGAAAATTTTATCTTAGTGCCAAATCAGCTTGATAAACTGATATAATTGCTGCAAAAGCGCTTGTAGCAATACCACTACTTTGTCCACTTCTCTCACAAATATACCTAGATTGTAAAGAACTGTATGTATAACGAACTACACGAACAACAAAAGGTTTTTTATTAAGAGTTAACATGATTTCAAGTTCTAGACGTATAGAAATAGGAAAAGTAAAATTTTCATTTTTAGAAAAACCTACCAATCTTGTAAGTATAGACCATAGTAAAGCTCTGAAACAATAATACCAGTTTTAATAAGTTCTCCTGGTGTTATATGTGTAGTTGACATTGAATTTTTTAAGAAAAATAAAGATTTTAAATGCAAGTTTTTTTGTTATAAAACATAGTGCTATAGTTATTAATTATAATTTCTATCAATTATATGCGGATCTGCAATTAAATTTCTAGTTGATGATAACTATTTATCAAGAGCAAGTGTTAAAAATTTGTATTTTTTCAATTTTTCATCAATTTTTAAATTAATTTAAGCAGTTTCTTGCTTCAACAATCTTTTAGAAAATGTTGTATAACTAGGTAATATATATTCTGAATTAAGATGTTTGAATAAGTCAACTATAAATAAATTGCTAATAACGAATTTGTCATAACCCAAGCTTTTAAAATGACTTTGTCAATTTTATTTTGCTTATTTTGAGATAGATCAGTGACTCTTGCCAATATTCTTTATCTTTAAAAGTATTAGGACAAATGTTTGCAAGATGACTTCTATTTTTGCAGAGTATCCATTATTCCAATTTTTTGAACAATAATAGCAAGTCATACTATGATCATCAATATCATTATTTGTTATATAATAATCCTAAATTTTTTCTTTTGGGTAATCTGCACTTTTACATTTTGGTGTTTTATTTTGTTTTTCTAAATACGTATCACTTTGGCTTGACATCTTTAAAGATAAATTTGTAGAAGCTAGTTTGTCAATTATATTAATATATAATAGAAACAAGTTTAAAAAGATTTTAATAATAAAATTATTTTAATTTTTATTATGCATATATAAATAGTGATAGCTTAAATTAGTTATATGACTTTTTTTATAAATAGTGATAGCTTAAATCAGGAATGGTAAATGACCAGATCATTTGCCTGTTTTGCAAATGACCCAGAATGACCTCAAAATAACTGATCATTTTGGTCATTTAATTTTCAGGTCATTTAAAAATAACTTGTAACCAAATGACCTAGATCATTTACAAATGACCAAAGTTATTTGAGTCATTGGGTCATTTTGCATGCTACAATCAGATGATGCAACAAAATTTGGTTGGATATTAGTATATATCGGTTAGATTAAAAAAGTTTATGCATGCAAAGCTTAATATTAATTAAGATTTGGAACCACATATGTTCTAACTGGTTAAAACCAGTCTTAACATATGGAAAAAAATAAACTATTGCTATATATATTGTTATTATTGTAACTTTAATTTTTGAACGTTTTTGCTTTAACGCATAAAAAATATGTTATTGACAAAGAGAATGGTAACTAGCGTTAGCATCCAATTCTCTTTATTATGTAAGTTAGTGTGGATTTCACGTAAGACATTAGCGATTCAAAAAGAAGAGTAGTAGTAAAAATCAAACCACAAGATAATGATATTGAATTACCAAAACTTTTAATGAAGTTACCTTAATGTTAATTGATAGTTTATATCAAATAGTAATCAATAAAAAAAATAAAAAATAAAAATAAAAAATAAAAAAACCCCAGATTTTTTTATGTTCCATGAAAACTATTAAAGTTAACCAGAGTATAAGCATTATACTTACAATAAATTTATATGATTAAATACCTGATCGATTATCATTACATACAACACGTGTATTACAGCCAAGTATTTTTCCAAACTTTGAGAAATTATATATCAATAATTATAATTTTATTCAGATAACCGATCAAGAAGCTATAACAAATTACAGTATATCATACCCTATTTTCGCGTAATAACGCTCATGAGCGTTATTTCAAATAATAGCCTGAATTAAGCTTAATTTGGGCCAAATTTTGAAATTACACCCCTGCGTGTTATTACGTGAAAATACAGTATCTATAATAAAGTAAAATTTTAAATGACCAAATGACCTAACAGGTCATTTCATCTTTTAAATGACTAGTGACTAGTCATTATTCATTTGAGTCACTAGGTCATTTCAGGTCACTTACCATTCCTGGCTTAAATTGATCATGCAATTTATCAATTGTAACAAAAACTACTGCAATTTTGTAAATACTGTAATTTTTGTATCAATAATAGGATTTTCGTAATTTGTATTTAATATAATTATTTTGCAACACTAGTTATAATGCTGTATACTTCCGAAATTAAGCACCCCTCGGGCAATTTTTATAGCCAAAATTCTCGTGATCTAATAATCGGATCTACGTACGTAATCAGCTTGCCAGAACGATTCGAATGGTACCAAAATTATGCAGATCCGATTATTATATCACGAGAATTTTGGTTATAAAAATTGCTCCGAGGGGGTGCTTAATTTCGGAAGTATACGGTAAGTACTTTTATAACAGTTATTAATAAGTGCTTGATTATATTTACTAATGGTATCGTTATACCAAACGATTAGTTTATAGACATCTTAATTTACAAGCAATTTACCTGCTGGCAAGTTTATTTTACAGACAAATTCACAGACAAGCTCACTTTGTAGACGGGTTTATTCACCGACTAATTTCAGCGACAAGTTCATTTCCTACGTTGTCCTAACCTTAAATCTAATTCTAACCCTCGCGAAATGTGCTAAAATGAACTGGTTTTGATAGAATTTTTTATGTAATATAAGTTTGTCTACGATTATGCAACACCGTTGGAAGATTAATTAACTTACGTTAAATGACCTTCTAGGTCATTTATTCCCTTTATTTTTTTTTTGTCATTCAGGTTATTCATTTAACATCACTGTCACTGAATGGCGTCTGGTGTTTCGAGTGTATTTGAGGATCTACCAAATCCCAACTAACCGGGTTTGGGTAATCATATTGGTTATCAATTACGTGGTATACGATTGATATAAAATTAGGTTGAATTAATTTTAATTATTGCTACGTAGATTACTCCGATTAATGAGCTGAATTACTAATCATGTTGCTGATCAATACTCGTGACTATATTATCAAGACTTTATAAATAAACTTTGTATACAATAGACGTAGTACATATTTTATGTTACAAATACACAAAATTCATAAAGATTGGTCAGCAGGTATTAGAATAGTCGAATTTAAATTTAAATGCATTTTTTACAATGCCGTGCTATAGTTACACAAAAATTTGACCATTATCATATATTAATCTCGTTATGGCAATGATCGGTGATTTTGTGAGTAGTCGTGATACTTACGATGCAATTTGGAAACATCGCTGAAAAAGTACAAAAAGTCCTATGTATACGTTAAATTGACTTTTTTTCATCGCATACAGAGGATAAGTAAGTTGTATTGGGACATTTTATGTTGTGTATGCGTTTGAAATAGTCATTTAGCAGCAATTGTCAGTAACGTGAAAAAATACTTTTTGAAATTATACGAAATCATGCCGCCACCAACACAGCAACAAGGACAAAATTCATGGCTGTCGAGATTCACAAGCTTAATAATTACAAGCTCGGTAGTCAGATATGGAACTTTAATATTTCTCGTAGCTTTAATTAGTGTATTATATTTTGCTACCACACACCAAGTAATGAAACCCTCAGGTGCAAATTCAGCTATTACTAGTGACATTTTATATATTAGTAATAGTACGACAAAAGACCAATTTTTAAAAAGTAATGGTAACGATTCTACGATATCTTATGACAAAGGGAACGTGAATCAAATAGGAGACTATAAGAGTGGGAATAATAAAGGGATTTTATATGATCGTGGAGATGGCTGTCTCCGTTATTCTGATTTGAATAAGTCAAGTGTAGGTATTATTCCTTCTGTTATACCCCAAGATTTTAAACTTCGTATAGGATTGGTTTCATCAAGCAGTGTAAGATGTTCGATTGACAAAAAAATAAACAATTCTATTAGCGATTTAGACATTGGACTTATCATTTATCCAGCATCACTTCCGGACAATAATAAATACGACAATATTACAGATATAAATTTATTTGTATTTGCTGTTGAAGATTCAAAGTTGCTAGATGAGTTAAAACAACTTTATAATGAAAATCAAGCAGATAATAATCAAACAAAAGCTTTACGTGTTACATTAACAACAGCTCAACCTGTTCCTGTCAATTCATGGCTTTTTGCAATGTTTGCCGTCGGTGGTATCTTGGTAACGTCCTTTTTCATTTCTATTTTGATTCATATGAGACTTTATCGTTTAAGGAGGAATCATCAAGAAGAAATAAGACGACAAAGGACAGCAGATGATATTACAGGAATGAGAAAATGGACATTGGATCAAGAAGATATTGATTCGTTACGAGTTTTTACTTATTCAAAGAAAACTGCAGCATCTAGGAAAAGTGCAGAGATATCAACATCAGCAAAAATGGATGAAAATGATAATTCTGTTGCGACTAATGAAACTGATGAAAATTCTGGTGATAAGTCAAATGGTGATGTAGATGCTAAGGAATCGTCCACTGCACCTCGGTCGCTAAGTCATAAATCATCTGTGCGATCCACCAGATCTACCAGATCCACTAAATCCACACGTTCTCAAAAAGCGATAAATAACGCTGTCTCTCTATTTACATCAACAGATTCAACACAAAACCCTGCAGTTTCAGATAATGATATGGCGTTGGAAGAAACATGCGCTATATGTCTCGAAGATTTCGACGATGGTGATAAGATACGTGAATTGCCATGCCATCATTATTATCATGTTGAATGTATCGATCCTTGGTTGACAACAAAAAGTAGTTCTTGTCCCTTGTGTAAAAAAGACTGCAAACCCTCTATTGGTGGTGGGAACAATGAAAATACTTCAATATCTATTAATATTGAGAATGAAAGACAAGCTACTCAGTCGGTAACCAATCAGAATTCAATGAATGCTAACAATTCGAATGTGGTTTTGAGAATGGGTAGATTGTTTAGAGGGTATTTTTCATCACGAAATGGAGGGACAAATTCTTTAGAGAATGAAAATGGGGTGGAGCTAGAGAATGTTCGATCTGTGAATTAAGCATACAATAAATTCACTGTCATCCCGTAACTAGGAAAAATGAATGATATTCCCTTTTTTCCCACTTTTCTCATTTTTTTATGTAACAAAAAGTTATGTATTTTTAATTTTTTGGAACGGTTATTACTAGTATGTAATGTATATTATCAATAGTTTGTGTTTGTAATTATTATTCTTTTTGTAGCATTAGTTAGCTATATTTGCCGTTGCAGATTTTTTATATAAAAGTTTTATATTTATCTAAGCTATTAATTTAGAATATTAAACTTCCCAAGATTAATATTTGAGTAATAAAACGAATTCTTGTTTTAAGCGCTGTTGTATTATTACGTAATCAAGTGACCTAAAATGTTAACGTTAAATGATAAAAAGCAAAAGAAATTGCGCGCGCCGGGAATTGAACCCGGGTCTGCCGCGTGGCAGGCGGCAATTATACCACTAAACCACACGCGCATCTTATAATAAAAGGATTTATTCTTTAAAACATGAACATGAATATATTAAGATATTAATAAAAATAATTTATTATTTCTATACCATAAAAGGTATTATCATTATATGCTACGTAAACAAACCAGAAGCGAATAAGAGTTACTTAGCGTTAATCATTCGAATCCGATCACGGATATTGCTTATTGATTATTGTCCGAAGCGTAGCGAGGGCATAGACCAGATTTTGTGTCCGTATCTATTTTAAGATCAGATGATCATCGTTATTAGCCAATTTTTTTATTTTATTTTTTAATTCTTGAAAAGTTTGGCTTCGGACATCTAACAGCACCTGTTTTCTATAAGTACTTACGTAACTTACGTAGTTATGCATGAACCGATAGCTTAATCCTTCGGCTTAAATCATTATTGTTATATCACTAAGCTGTGCGACCATGCGTAACCACCGGTCTAATCATCGGTCTAATTAAGGTTTTTTGCAGATCAACGATAATTTACCGTATTTTCGCGACCAGAAGTAAGCTTAATTCGGACCAAATTTCGAAATTACACCCCTGCGCGAAAATACGGTAATAGTAAAAACATAGAAAGTTCAAGCTGCAATAACTCTTGAACTAGCAAACCCACACAAATGAAATTATATTTGTCGGGTTTGTTATAATGTGCTCTTTGACGTGACAACGCTCTTTTTTTTATATTTATTGCCTAGGAAACAAAAATTCTGGTTTATTAATAAAATATCAAAAACATAACTTTGAATTTTCTGCGCATATTGTGACACAATATGCAATAGCTACGTTATTGATATTTTATTATCATAATAATATATAAAACCAAGAATTTTTGTATTACATTATTCCTCCTGCTACACTCTAGACAAAAAAAAAGTATTGTTACTTCAATGACAAACCTGACAAATATAATTTTATTTGTGTGGGTTTGCTGGTTCAAGAGTTATTGCGGCTTAAACTTTCTATGTTTTTACTAGAACTTCGATCATATTTCTTCAGGATGAATCCGGTTAATTGAGTAAATTCGGATTGATTCAATTCAATCTGGAATAATCATTGATCGACCAATCAAAATCACGAATTTGAAAAAAAACGCTCGAGAACAACAAATTGGACTAATAATAAGTTTTTTAAAAAGTTTTTTTAAAAATTACTGATGGGTGGTCGCATCACAAAAATCGGCCTATGGTGTAGTATGGTCGTTCATCCAACAGCAACGACCAAACAGAATCATGACAGGTATACCATGTGTTAATCTAGTAAGGATTATTGATCCGAATAATCCTCATTCTCAATCCGAAATAGGATCCGTTTAAAATTGTTTAATCCGAATTAGTCGGTTTGTACTAGTTTTTACTAAATTATCGTTGATCTACAGTATACTATAAAAATCATTGATCAAACACTATATTAATATCTGATATCTACAGTAATCCATATATTTATAAGTTATCGTATGGTGGGTAAAAAAATAGGATTTCCTTATGTCAAGAAAATGATCTACATCCGATGTAACACACAATTTTGATAATATTATATATATATATTGT